TGAGTTCGTGAGAATGATTGGTCTATAGTATTCTTTCCTTGAACTCTATTTGTCTGGTTTTGTAAAAGACAAAAAAACTATATATTCTTCTGAGTCCCTGGATGATAACCTTACTGTTTTTAACTATCATAAAATTTTAAAAGTGGTTTTAACTTTGCTTTCCCATTAGAATTTGGTTCTAAATCCTTGACCAAGAAGACAACTTACAAAGATAACAATAATCTTTCCAGGGGAAAATGAGACTGTTTTTTAAGGAGCCACTGTAAGGTAGATGTGAGACTCCAAGGCAGTGAAACCTGCCACTGCACCTCCCATCCACCATCTGCCTGCCCCCACCCTGCCCCTGCACATCCCGCAAAGGGCAGGAAAGGTGAGGACTGTACAGTCTTGAGATAAAAGACTGACAAGATTTCCATCAAATAAAAGACATGTTATTACTCAACCTTGAAATGCAAATACTCACAGTTGTCTTTGAGTTACCTAAAAAGCATCCACCAAGATTTAACCCCTTCATTCTTACAACTCCTAAAATGCTCAGCCATTTCTACCCACATTCTACTATGGCGGATGCCAAGGCTAGAAACAGTTAAGAGATTTCAAGATCAGCAGACCTAAAATTTGATTTTAAACATCTCTTACCCAACTTTGTTATAAAAGGTCCTGAGCCATGGCAATGCAATACCAAAAAGTCAGTCGGGGATCGGGGGACGCAAGTACGCATCTGCGATATAATGAATTATAAGAAATACATATTCGGTCATTCATTATGACCAAACACATTTCTCAGCTGCATTTTACCTTCATCCACACGAATGAAAGCACTGCAGAACCTTAAAGGTGAAATGGCTGTCTTGTCATGCTAATGAGACCTTTGGACCCCACCCAAGGGCGGGGCTGGAGGTTGAATCAGCCAATGCCCAATGATATAGTTAATCACGACTATGCAGTGAAGCCCCCACAAAAACCCAGGAGAACGTACTTCTCTCTTGGATCCTGTTTCTCTGCTGGAGGGAGTCTCTACACTTGGGGAACCAGAACGTTTCCATGTGCTACTGAGCTAGGAGGCCCCAAACTCCAGGAAGACAGAAGCTCCTTTATTTGGGACCTTGCCCTGTGTATCTCTTCATCTGGCTGTTAACTTGTATCCTTTATGGTATCCTTTATTAAACTAGTAAATATAAGTGTCTTCCTGAGTTCTGAGAGCTGCTCTAACAAATTAATTGGACCTAAGGGGGAGGTCGCTGGAACCTCTAATCTGTAGCCCTCTGGTCAGAAGCACAGGTAGCAGCCTAGGACTTGTGACCAGCATCTGGAGTGGGGGTGGAGGGCAGTCTTGTAGGATGAAGCCCTTAACCTGAGGAATCTACTGCTGTCTCCAAGCAGATAGACAGTCAGATTTGAGTTCGTGGACACCCTGCTGGTGTTCAAGAATTGCTTGGTGGTGTGCGTGGAAAGCCCCCTCCCACCCACAACACACACATACTGGAATTGGGTCCAAGAACCCGAAAGGAGTTTTACTACTGCTATATACTATTGCTGTGTAGAAGAAAAAACAGTATCTAAACCAAAAGGGCTTCCTGAGGGGTCTTTTTGGAACTAAATGATAACTGCTCTCGGCAATTTAGAGAAGTGGGCAGGTCTGCTGGGTGACAAGCAGGGCACAAGGGCGCTGCACACCTGCACAACAGCCACTGAGAACTAAATCCCTGTCAGTCTCACCTCGGCACAGAAGTCACCCAAGAGGTTGCCAGGTTGTCCAAAGACCACAAAAATGCCACAGGCCTCAAAGACTCCTGCTCTGCTGCATGAAACAGCTCAAAGGCAGTGAAGAGCACATTCTGAAACCAGACTGCCTGGGTTCAAATTCCACACTACCGCCCACTAGTCACGTGACCTTAAATGACTTACAACCTCTACGCTTCAAGTTTTTTGTCCATAAAATGGGAGCAACAACTGCAGAGTAAACACGCACTAAATTATGTCTGTTACTCAGCAAGTTACATCCAATCCAGGCCCTGTCCTCCTCTAACACTGTCCTTAAGTCATGGTATATGTGACAGTATGCCTTCCCCGAGACACTACACCCCCGGTGCAAAACTCTGCTTTCAACCAGTTGACAGGAAAAAAACACACATACAAACAAATAAATAAACAAGCAAAAGGTCTAATTTAACTATTTCAATAAATAATGTCTGGGAGCTAAAAACCCATAAGCAACAATCCACATTCACAAAAAGGAAGAAGGCATTTAAATCAATAGCTTAAACCAACTTTTTTCCATAAAAAGTACATCTTTATTATTTGATATACCACAGGAGACATTCTCCCCAACCAAGAGATAGATATGAGTTTCATATTCCAAATATATAAGCTATGAAAATGCACTGATTAATTTTCATATTTCAGATTACTGTAAAAAAATCCATTTAAAATATAAACTTAACTTTCAAATCACTAGAAAGTAAACTAACTTTAATTCAAATATATAATTATAATTTTGGAGTGGCATTTTCACCAAGCTCAAGAAACAGAAAATATTTAGCAACAATTACTAACATTTATTACACACTAAGTGCCTAATAAACTAGTACTAATTTCTACATACTACCTTATTCTCTTACTCTTTTGAGTAAGGTATAGGCTCATTTTACAGAAAACCTCAGCTTTGAGTTTGACCATTAATGGTTCTGATAGAAAACTAATTGGTAGCACCTGTGTGAGCCTTTAACACTAAAATGATCTAGAAAGGTAAGTCTCGAACACTGATGTGCATGTGAGTCACCTGAGGATTCTTGTTAAACTGCAGATGGATTCAGAAGGTCTGGCATGAAGCCTCTGAGTCTGCATTTCTAACAAGCTCTCAAGTGCTGACAGTGCTGCTGTTCTAGGGACCCCAGCTGTAGCAGCAAGGACCTTCAGGTTGCAACTGGCCATTATCCATAAAAAAAGAGTCTGTAAAAACTAAAATGGATGAAAATCAAAATTTCCTCAAAAACAGTAAGTTAATTAATTATGAGGTCCAATGTGATAATTAGAACTTATCCGCATTTCTTGATGGGATCCTGAGCTTTGTAACATCTTAGAAATATCTTCATAATGACTTCTTGTTTAAATTTCGAGTACAATTTCTTGGAGTTTTGTGAGGGGGGATTCCCCCTAAAAACCCTTATTTTTATCAAGTCTGAGAAGCCAAGTACATGGAAGACTATTTCAAGTTCCTATACTGTTCTGCAGCACCCTTCCTTCACTTGCCCATGTACAACCTCTTGCTGTTGAAATTCTAGAGATTAGACAATGGCAGAGGTAGGTGACATATTTAGGGGTTGCACCCCAAAGTTCTTCCAGATGGAAAGTACAACTACAGCAAGATGGCCCCTAACCAAAACGCATCAGTGACTGGCTTCCATTTCTGGCCTTCCATGACAAAGTTCCAGCAATGAGGTGATAATGAACGTTTTATAGAAACTACTGGATGTCCATTCTTTTATCAGATCGTTTGAGTGGCAAGTTCTATTTACTTTCAAAAATCCACATAATAAGCAAAGCAAGGTATTTAATGAGGCCCCTACACCACCTGTGTCCAAGTTCACGCCCTGTTCCTCTATATTCATTTCTGATGATCTGTGCTATCATCAAACACTGGCAGGCAGGCTACCTCTTTAAACAGCTACACCTATACCCCACCACACCCCATCCTCTTTGCTAACAGCAATGCCTAACTACAGAACCAGCAAATTTCTGAGAACATTCCAGCTTACCAGATAAGGTCAGTTTAAAATCCTACAGAGGGATAACCTGCTCCACTTGTCTTTCCTTCAAGACCTTCAAAAATACCCTCCAGAATAAGCCCTTCACCCAATCCAGAAATCAAACAAGTCTATGATTCTGCAATTTACAAACACTGAGACCTTTATTTAAAGAGCGTCCACATATTATTCCCAAGGAATATTTATCTATGTACTCCAGTAAGCACAAGAAGCCTAATGCTCGAAAAAAACAAAATGCACATATATTGCAGCTCTGTGCAAATGGCTTCTATGGCTAAAAAGCCTATAAAGTTGTGCTGCCCAGCCTCAAAGGCAGGCCTATCTGTGAGGGGGTATATCACGGCACATATTTTTTCTGACATGGAGCGCACCCTGTTCAAAACAGCCAAGCAACTACTCAGGCCTGTTAGAAAACCACAGAAGAGGGGCAGAGCTGACAGGCCCCTGCCCTGAACACCCTAGAAGCTAAAAATAAGAATTCTGAGAACGGAGCTCTACTACAGACAAGTCCAACAGAAAGTTCTCTGTTTCTCTTACCTCTAAAACTGGCTGCCCTCCCAGAGTGATTTAACTCTGGGTACCAGTTGGGGAATGCCAGCCACTGTGCTGGGGCGGAGGATTCAGGGATGCGGGTTTTGTCTTCTAGGTTGATTAGGAGTCAAAAGCTCTTAAGGATAAACTGGAGACTTTGCAGGCAGATCTGGGCTGCCCCGCTGCATCTAGACTACATGCCTCCATTCAACAAACATTTATTGAACGGCTACCATATGCCCGGGAGGAAAAACAAGCCACAGTCCCCAGTGTTTTGAGTAAAGACAGACAAGGACCGTCAGGAGCGGTGGAGGTTTTGCGGGCCCCAAAAACATGCCACAAGTTGCTATGACCACAGTACCCAGGGGACGGCATGACCCCGTGACAGGCTGCGCGTACCACCAAGCCCAAAAATGCAACAGGCTCACAGCGAAGGAGGGAGTGGACAGGCAGGCCCAGGGGGGCAGGTGTTCGTGTAGGAGACGCACACCTGAGGTGGCAGGGCTGATGGGGCCAGGGGCCCCCAGGGGAGACAGAAGGGCGGCCCGGGGACCCCACGAGGGAGAACGGGTGCTACGAACAGGGGTCTGGCCCGGCAGGCGGGTGCGCGGCGGAGACCGGCCGGGCCTGCGCCCCCGAAGCGGGAGCGGGGAGAGAAGGCTAGGCCGCCCGCCCGCACCTGGGGCCCCGCCCGGCACCTACCACTTGGGCGACCTTGAGGCAGCCGAGTGCGCTGCGCAGGTAGTCGAGGTCGCAGCGCAGGCCGGCCAGCCCGCGGCGCTGGCTCACCGGCTCGGTGGTGGGCTGGTACGGGCTGCTGGCGCCCGAGATCATGGAGGTGCTCGAGGCCTCACCCTCGAAGCCGTCCAGATCCTCGCCGCTCCGCATGCTGCCGCCTGGCCCGGGCCGCCTCGCGCGGCCGGAGCCGGGAGCTGGCGGTCTCAGCGCGGCCACCGCATCGCCGCGGCCGCCTCCCGCCTGACCGCCCGCGGCCCGCCCCACCGCCGCCTCCTCAGCGCCCGCCGCCTGGCTGCGGCCGCGGCTCAGTCCGCTGGCGCTCGGCTCCCGTCGCCTCGGCTGCGGAAAGGAAGGGAGGCGGGAACGGGCGGAGAGGGAAGGAGCTGGGGACCGGCGCGGCGGGCCGGGAGTGGGCGGAGCAAACGCCCGCCCGCCAGCCGCTCGGAGGCGCTCCGCTGCTCCGGCGACGCAGGGTGGTTGCCCGCGCGGCCGGGCCTGGGGGGCGGAGCGGGGCGGGGCGGGGCGCGGTCTTCTCGGGCCCCGCCCCTCACCTGAGCGCGCGCTGGGGGCCCGCGCCGTGGCTCCGCGCTCGGCGGTCTTGCTTCGAGCGCGGGTACCGGGAGGAACAAGGGTCGAGAAGAGGGTAGAGGGGCACCTAGGGGACATGGAGTTGATTTCTCAGGGCGCTACCTCAGTTTCTCCTCTGGAGGCAGTGGGGTCCTCTGCAGGTGGGCTCCGGGACTTTCCGGTGACGACCAAGATGGGCTGTGCGACCCTCGTGCTGAGAGCAGTGCATGGCCCTGGGTGGGCCTGACTCGGAGTGTTTGATCAGAGAGTGTTAGGTGGACTCCCACACAGGGCGCTTTGCAACAAACCAGTTCTGGGGCCAGGGGCCGAGAGGGGCAAGGGTGAGGGAGTTGGGGTGAGGGGGCGGTCATTAAGTGCCACATCTGCAGAACCGACACACGGTAAAAATTTATGATTAACTCCCAATGTAAGTTCTGGATCCACGGGCCTGACCGAGGAGGGGCGCTAGCGCACAGTAGACCCTCAGTAACTGACGTTAGTTTCCTCTTAGCTGAAAAGGTTTTAGGATCTCTGTCTAATAATCAAGTCAGGTTAAGATTTTTGCACTGAAGGGCATTAATTAGGGACTAATTCGCAATGCAAGTGTGAAGGCTAGTTTTAAACTTAAGTAAAACATTGACTTTCTAAGAATTGTCGCCATGGTATTGAACTAATCCACACCACAAATATCGAGAGCTTCCCATGGTCTAGGCGTGGAGCAAGGCACTTGTTCCCATTTTACAGAAGAATGGACTGACTCCACAGTAGTAGTAGCTTGTCTCGGGCAACATTAGTTGGTGGGCAGAGCTCAGATTCCAAATTTTCTCACTACGTAATGTTGCCTAATATATAATTCAGATAAACTTGTGAACTCTACGCTGAGAAGCAGTGAATACCATAACTAAGGAGATTTCAATTTAAAAGAGCTCTTACCTTTTTGGTTACCAAAAATAGGAAAGGCAATGACTCTAAAATACCCCATTTGAACAACAAACATTTTCTGGGCACATATTATGTGCTAAGTATATGTTAGGAACTAGAAATAGACTGCTAGTCAAAGATGACTGTTTGGATGTAGGCTCTAGCCTCTGCTCTCTCCCAAAATCCCAGTGAAATAACAGTTACAGGGATTAATTTTTTTAAGGGAATAAACCCACTGGGACAAAGAATGGGAAAGAAAGGAGACAATGGCAACAAAATGTTGGAAGCAGAAGAGCAAATGGGCAAGTGGTAACTGACTTAGCAGATCCAAGAAAGCTAAACCCTAAGCTGACAGGAGGAGAGGCTGAAATGCAACCTCAGGTACATCACATAACAACAATGGGCTCTGAAATGGACAGCATGGAGCACATCTAGAAGTGGGGATGGAGGCAGGAACAAAAAAAAAAAGATCAATTTAAGAAGCAGTTGGATCCCTGGTTCCCCTCTCATGCCCAAGACTGGAGTTTTAGTCTCTGCAGAAGATAAAACAGAAAGTCTCTTAGCTCTAGGGAGAAGTAGGTACAACTGAGGGCAGTGGTGCCTACTGAAAATTATATATATATACATATATGTATATGTATATGTATATGTATCTCTTTGGTTATTAAATAATATAAAAGCAAAAAAAGTAAAAGCTCAATATGACAGTTAATGAAAACCTCACAGGAAATAGAGCCAAAAGACAAAAAGATGGAAAATGAGAGAATAAGAAAATTATAGGAAGAATCCAAGAGAATAATAGAATACTAAGACTTCCATAAGGTTAGAACAGAGAAAACGGAGGGAAGAAAATATAAAATAATAATTCAATAACATTTTCCAGAACCAGAGAACATGAGTGTTTTGGATTTGAAGGACCCACCAGTGCGCAGCACAGTGAATGAACACTGATCCACGCCCAGGCACATCAGACCAGCAGGGCAAGGAGAAGATTCTGGAGTTTGCAGAGAGGAACTGAACAGGTTTCATTATAAAGAATCATAAATCAAAAGACTTCAGACTTTTCCACAGCAACTTTGGGAGCTACAGGGAAAAGCAAACTTAGATATCCTGAGGAAAATAATTCCTCCCCTACAGAGGTCTGGTTCCAGCTGGAGTATCCATCAGGTATGAGGGTTGATGAAAGACTTAGACACGCAAAGAAAGATTCCCTCTGTCTCTTTCTCAGGAGGCTCCTGGAAGAGAACAGAACAAGGATTTAAACCAAAGAAAGCACAGGACACAGGATTCAGGAAAAGGTGGGTGCAGCCTAGAGAGAGGTGATAAGGAAAGTTTTGAGATAGATTAGTTATAAATGTATAGAAAACTAAGCAAAGATGCATAGATATCTATTAACTGCAGGGAAAATAAAATGACGTATAGAAAAGGAGAAGTATGGTCAATCACATGGCTCAGCTGTGAATAATATATGCATAATTATAAAGTAAACAGTGGATGCTGATCTAACTCAAAGTATGTAACCATATATGGAGGAGAGGATGGGGGACAGGATGTGTGCACGTGTAACTGGGGAAAGAGAGGGTGTACAAGGGACCTAAATACTCACCATCCATTGTGGGAGATCAGTAGATGCTTAAAACTAAAAGAAAAATCAAGAGGAGGTAGTATATGCATGTTAACTAATACAAAGGTAAATACAAAAATAATCAGCTAAAGGTTTTAAAATGTTGCCTCTGGGGAGCAGGAAATGTGAGCATATAACATTAATAAAAGCTACATTAAAAACAAATTTTTAAAAAGGAACTTGAGAGTTAGTGTGAACAAGGCAAATACAGTGCCCTGCCAGCATGGACATGGAGAACAAGTACTGAAACCAGTAAATACAACAGAGCATGTGCTGAGTATTGTTCATGAATTTCCAGCAAGGATCTAATTGAGTCTGTGGATCAGAATTTCATCTGAGATTTAAAGTACACACACACAGCAGTTAGCTAGGCAAAGTAAGGTTTGGTGGAAGAGTGTTTTGGGAAGAAGGAACAACACGTGCAAAGGTCCAGAGACAAGCAAAAGCAAAGCACAGTGAAGAGGCTCAAGTGCTGAATTCAAGGGGAGGAGGACCGGCAGACAAGACCTGAAGCTGAAAGGTAGCTTTGGGCAGAGGCTTGTGGGCCAAGAGAGACAGTGGACTCTGAACAGAAGAGTGTTTACTAAGCAGGAGAGTGGGCACTGAGCACTGACTTAGAATGTTCTCTCTGGCTTCATCAAGGGAGATGGATTAAGTGGAAGCAAGATTGGAGGCTTCCCTCCAGTACTTACTAACTGTTCCCTATTCTTGGACACTAGCCTAAGTTTATTTTTAGTTCCAGGGACAGCCTCAAAATCTTTACTTCTGGTTTTTAACAGAAGTTCACAGACTTCCAAAGGATGTTGTTGGGAATCCCACATAGGAATTATAGATAAAATTTGGTATTTTGATGACTTTTCCAGTGTTAAATTGTAGTACATCGTAAGTCTGTGCTTCCAGGTATGCACAAGTGCTGAAGTCAAAATGAGGACAATAAATGATAGAAAGGTGGGCAGCTCTTGGGCAGACCCCTGGGTTTCAAGATCTGGTCCACACATCCAGGGCTGACTCAAGACAACCAGACTCAGAAGAGACTGATGAATAAGCCAGATGCTACTTTATTAACTGTTGCTTGTGGGTAGACTCTGCCAGCAACCGTAAGGCTGATTTTTATCTCAGTCCCTGAATTCATCCTGAAAAAGCTGCTTAGAGTATTTCATCCTTAGATATGGGCTGTTTCCCTGGGATGGTTCACCTGGATTAGGCCTGGCCTCTTTCCTAGCCCCTCACCCTCTCTAACCCAGGGCTCGGCTCTCCTCAGAGCAACCACCTCCAGGTCTGGGGGCCTCCTTACTTTAGCCCCATCTCCACAAGCACACCGATGCCATGGACTTATGGGAAGTCCTCACCTCAAAAGCATTGGTCCTATAAAGATTTTAGATTTTAAATTCCATGAAGAGCTGGGAGCAAAACCCTTTCTCAAATGGTGGTCCTTCTGTGCTCTGTCGCTAGAGGCAGTACCTAATAATGGTGAGGAGAGGGGGTTTGCCTTTCACCTCATTTCTTATTGAGACCTCTCCCCAGTACATCCCCCTGAGTGCTGGGGGTGGGGTAGTTTTCCTGTAACTTCAACTAAGCAATCAATCTAATGTACTACTTTTAATAAGCTCAGTAATTAGCAGGAGCCCTAGAGACTTCCTATCTCAAACAGGAAAACAGTGGTGAAGTAGAACATTTCAAGCATAAAGCTTACAGTGGGAAGACTAAGTTTATTATTATCAATTATTAATATTAAGCAAGAACCGACACTCAAGAAAATCTTATGTTTAATGTTACAAGACTAACAAATTAGTTTGAAATGATTCTACTTTTAAAAGGCTTTTCAAAGAAAAATACACATATAAATTCCTTATGTCTGAAGGATTAGACACAAAGATGTAAAAATAAACAACCCTTTTTGTGCAAGAAGCAGATGCCCCTGCCCTTTGTGGGGGGCACCAACTGGACCCCTCCAGCAGTGTTCCCATGCGCCTGGAGGAAGGCTGGGGCCAGGGTGAATTCCAGGCCAAGAAGTTCAAGGGTTAGCATTAACTGCTGCTTCTGAAAATACTTATCCCTTCAGCCAGAAAAATGCTCTCCAAGTCTTCTCTAAAAATAGTGCTCACTGGGATTTTCCAGTTTGACATTCCTTTCGGTTCCTATGACAGAGGACAACCAGAGCCAATTCATCTGCACCCCTTCCTGGAACCTCCAGTGGAATCCCACCCTCCATGGGACCCCAGTTTGCAGTTCCTGCTACTTCCAAATCCTGTGGGCACTTGATGATTCAGGGGACAATTCACCTGCTCAGCAGCTGCCTTGTGTCTCACTGGTTGCCCTCCACCTTCTCTTCCCAAAGCAGAGGAAGGGGAATGGTTTT